GGTCAAAACGGCTTACATGCCCCCTATCCCTAACAACACAAGTACTTCCTAGGGACTCCCCAGGTACGTCCATAATTTTATACTAGGATATCCCAGGGATATCCTTTGTCGGGACAAAGTACATACTAGTGACGTCCCATGGACATCCGCTTTCAAACAAAATGACATCCAAGGGATGTCCTTCTGGTACGTCCCTGGGATGTACTAAGTACGAAGAAAAGATATCCCTAGGACGTCCGAAGGATATTCCAGGGACATCCCTTCGATAAAAGAAAAAAAATTAGGTCGAGTAGGGATTGAACTCGGGACCTCTAGCTTATATCAGGCACGCACCTCACTCCATTGGCAATGTCTTCTGAAGATTTATGTACTAAACAGATTTGTAAACAGGCCTAAACTACAGAAACCTGAATAAATACAACTTTGTTAGGATTTGAGTATAATTATTATCATTCTTGGGTGTTTAAAAATAAAGGGCATTATGTATTTATGATTTCTGTTTGCGAAAAATTGTCATTTCTCAAGAAGTTCTGAGACTATATTCTTTATTTTCATTACAATTATTTTCCGGAAGAAAAACGAACATTTTCAAAAAAATTCAACTCAATATTTTGATGAAATTCAATGACTCGATCTGATGTCAATGGATATCAGATAATCAGATATCAGACACGAATAGGATAACCTAGGGATGTACCGGGAGGGATGTCCACTGGACAACCACTGCGGGACATCCCCTGGATGCCCCAATCATGTCATTGTACCGCGGGACGAAAAAGGGACGTACCTAGGACAACCCTGTGTTGTTAGGGATATTGACTTTCGATCAGAATTCTGAGTCTTGAACCACCCTGTATCTGTTCCAATTAAACGTCAGTAGATAGTAAATCAGAAGTGAGGATAGGGACATGAAAGCCTTTTCGACCGATAATGAATAGTTTCTACACGAAAATATCCTAATGTTGAAAATTCCCGATTTTGAACAACCTATATCTCTGTAATAATTCCCGCAAGACCCCAAGTGTGATGCACCGATGAAATCAGCTCTTCAGGGAGAATCTAAAATTAGATACAGAAAATTCTATTTGGAATAACAAAGTTGTTGCTACTTTTCGATAGAAGCGGCAACACCGCTTTGTCGAAAATACGTTGAACGAAGCTAGCGTAACCTCAAATATAAACACGCAAAGTTTCAAAATTTCATTATGACCGATTCTCGATATAAAGATAGTGTAATGCTCGTCGTGACATACCCCGTATACTACAAAAACCATAGAGAAAGGATTTCTACAAAATCTTGGTACTTACATATTGTATTATACTATTTCAGAACCATCTAATAGTCGCAGCATCATCCTTCTAGAAATCCAAGATTCTTCCGAATATTCTACACAGAAATCATTCGATTGATTCACTTTATCACTTAACTTCACTTAACTCCGCCTAACTCCACTTTTCTTAACCACATCACGAGATACACACCAAAAACTCAGTTGTTTTATATTATATACACACTAGAACTAATACAAAACCCGGTATATGTTGAAAGGAAAAGTAAATTCACTGTCAAATCACGATAATTATCACTGCAGTCTGCACTGAAACTCACACAACACCCGGTATACAAAACGAAAATGTATATTCACTAATTGTACGATAATAATTTTTACTGCGTCCGCATCCACCGAAAGCCGTTCGCAAACTGATTCAACATTCAACTGATTCATATTTCTTTATCATCCCGATTAAATTTCTTGGTGAGTAATGCCATACGTTATTCATTACACAATCTATCAGTAGTATGAGATGAGGAAGCAAATAAAAATACAGGGTCGTTTTTTCATTTGGAATTTAAAAACGGCGCCGTTATTTAGATCATAGATACCAAACAGGGTGTATACCGTGTGACAACAAAATCATTGACCAGGACGTCATTTTTTATGTTATAGAATTTTGACATTTGAATCGAAGATATCGTTCCTCAATACCACAATTTTTCATGAAAAAACAATTGAATTGTGTCTAAAATGGCGGCACAAGAGATATTTTCTCTAAAATCAATATGGCTACCCTGTGACGTCATCGATCGAAATTTCGACCAGAAACCTAATAAAATAGCGAATGAAAAAATCGAACTTTTCTCAGAGCAAAGATATAGCTCAATTCTGTTTTCACCATTGACTTTTTTGGGTCGAAAAACTGCCTATTTAGGTCACAGAACCAAAATGGGAGCGATATCTAGACAGATGACAAACATATAGATTTCAATCAAGGAAATCGATCAGTAGGTTCTAGGAAAAAAATCGAACTTTTTTCAGAGCAGAGATAACTCAATTCTGTTTTCACCATTGACTTTTTTGGGTCGAAAAACTGCCTATTTAGGTCACAAAACCAGAATGAAAGCGATATCTAGACGAATGACGAAGATATAGATTTCAGTTGAGGAAATTGATCAGTAGGTCCTAGGAAAAAATTCGAACATTTTTCAGAGGAAAGATAGCTCAATTCTGTTTTCGACATTGACTTTTTTGGGTCGAAAAACTGCCTATTTAGGTCACAAAACCAAAATGGAAGCGATATATAGACAGATGACAAACATATAGATTTCAATCAAGGAAATCGATCAGTAGGTCCTAGGAAAAAAATCGAACTTTTTTCAGAGCAAAGATAGCTCAATTCTGTTTTCACCATTGACTTTTTTGGGTCGAAAAACTGCCTATTAGGTCACAGAACCAGAATGAAAGCGATATCTAGACGAATGACGAAGATATAGATTTCAGTTGAGGAAATTGATCAGTAGGTCCTAGGAAAAAAATCGAACTTTTTTCAGAGCAAAGATAGCTCAATTCTGTTTTCACCATTGACTTTTTTGGGTCGAAAAACTGCCTATTTAGGTCACAGAACCAGAATGAAAGCGATATCTAGACGAATGACGAAGATATAGATTTCAGTTGAGGAAATTGATCAGTAGGTCCTAGGAAAAAATTCGAACTTTTTTCAGAGCAAAGATAGCTCAATTCTGTTTTCACCATTGACTTTTTTGGGTCGAAAAACTGCCTATTCAGGTCACAAAACCAGAATGGAAGCGATATCTAGACAGATGACAAACATATAGATTTCAATCAAGGAAATCGATCTGTAGGTCCTGGGAAAAAAATCAAACTTTTTCCAGAGCAAAGATAGCTCAATTCTGTTTTCACCATTGACTTTTTCGAGTCGAAAAACTGCCTATCTAGGTCACAAAATCAGAATGGAAGCGATATCTAGACAGATGACAAACATATGGATTTCAATCAAGGAAATCGATCAGTAGGTCCTAGGAAAAAAATCGAACTTTTTTCAGAGCAAAGATAGCTCAATTCTGTTTTCACCATTGACTTTTTTGGGTCGAAAAACTGCCTATTTAGGTCACAAAACCAGAATGGAAGCGATATCTAGACAGATGACAAACATATAGATTTCATACAAGGAAATCGATCAGTAGGTCCTAGGAAAAAAATCGAACTTTTTTCAGAGCAAAGATAGCTCAATTCTGTTTTCACCATTGACTTTTTTGGGTCGAAAAATTTTCTATTTGATCACAGAACCAGAATGAAAGCGATATCTAGACGAATGACGAAGATATAGATTTCAGTTGAGGAAATTGATCAGTATAGGTTCTAGGAAAAAATTCGAACTTTTTTCAGAGCAAATATAGCTCAATTCTGTTTTCACCATTGAATTTTTTGGGTCGAAAAACTGCCTGTCATCAGGTCACAAAACCAGAATGGAAGCGATATCTAGACAGATGACAAACATATAGATTTCAATCAAGGAAATCGATCAGTAGGTCCTATGAAAAAAATCGAACTTTTTTCAGAGCAAAGATAGCTCAATTCTGTTTTCACCATTGACTTTTTTGGGTCGAAAAACTGCCTATTTAGGTCACAAAACGAGAACGGAAGCGATATTTAGACAGATGACAAACATATAGATTTCATACAAGGCAATCGATCAGTAGGTCCAAGGAAAAAAATCGAACTTTTTTCATAGCAAAGATAGCTCAATTCTGTTTTCACCATTGACTTTTTTGGGTCGAAAAACTGCCTATTCAGGTCACAGAACCAAAATGGAAGCGATATCTAGACAGATGACAAACATATAGATTTCAATCAAGGAAATCGATCAGTAGGTCCTAGGAAAAAAATTGAACTTTTTTCAGAGCAAAGATAGCTCAATTCTGTTTTCACCATTGACTTTTTTGGGTCGAAAAACTGCCTATTTAGGTCACAGAACCAAAATTTCATCAATGTATCACAATTATTGGGGTCTAGCGAAAATGATTACAGAGATATATATAGCGTGTTTAAAATCGAAAATTTTCAACTTCAAGTTTTTTTTTGTGACGAAACTATGCATTATCGGTCAAAACGGCTTTCATTTCCGTATCTCAACTTTTAATTGACTATCTACTGACATTTGATAATTGGAACAGATACAGGGTGATCAGAATTCTGAATCTTGAACCACACTGTATATGTTTCAATTAAATGTCAGTAGATAGTTAATCAAAAGTTCGGATAGAGACATTATAGCCGGTTTGACCAATAATCAATAGTTTCGACACAAAAAAACCCTTAAGTTGAAAAATCTCGATTTTGAACACCCTATATCTCTGTGATCATTCCCGCTAGACCCCAAGTGTGATGTATTGATGCAATCAGCTCTTCAGGGAGAATCTTAGAATACAATGAAATTCAGGGTGTTCCATTCGAAAAAATCAGGAAGTACTCTGTAGATCGTTTGTTCCGAGCACCCTGTATTTTCTGATGCAACGGGAAACAATTTTCTGATGAATCATTTTATATGATTCTTCAAATGTTCAACTCGGTTCAAAAATAGGTGAGCTAGATGGGGAGACATTTATGGTGAATCACCCTGTACCTATACTGCGCCAGAAGGCGGCCAGAGATTTGGTGTTTGCTGGGTATCCAGAAAAAAAAACTGAGCACTTTTTATTTAAGCATAATATTTATTAAATATATCTCCATTGCAATTATAACATAAAAATTGTTTATGTACAAAATAAAAACTCCTAATGATATATAATTGTGTAAGATATACAAAAATGGCAGTATGTGGCCTTAAAGTATCCTGAGATCATAAGACAGACCCCTCACAAAATAATATAAATAGAAAAACTTGTTATACAAAATTCCTTCAATAAAATTTTCTCATATACAATAAAACGTTAAAGCCTTTTTATAATTCAAATATTGCGTTAACAATTTACATATCACAAAATATACATTTTATACACTATAAATATAATTTGTACACCAATCCAAGCTACTGGATCATCTGCAGAAACCTGTTCTCCTCCAATAGCGAACTCAACGATGACGTCATATCGTTCACCACCATATTCGAACTAGCCTTGTCGGCACCCTTCAAAGGATGCGTACTACTGCTAACCGTCTCCGAATTATTCACCCACGATTGACAATTTTGAACGTACTCCAAAGTCCTCTGATACGTATCTTGCCGCATACCTAACATAGTGGTACCATTAACAACAGTATTACCATTAACGTTGCCGTTAACGTTGCCGTTAACGTTGCCGTTAACGTTGCCGTTAACGTTGCCGTTAACGTTACTATTCACAATACCAGGTGACATTTGCGATTGGCTTATGTCCTTGCACTGTATCTCGCCATTGGGGCACTGATTGAAGCTCTTCCTGCAGTTTTGGCAGTTGTTGCAGCCCTGTTGAGGCTGAGGCTGAGGCACGCATTGGTTGGTGTAAGGGGGAGTGGGGTAACACGCCTGCGCGTAATGCGTACAAGGTCGCGTCATCTGCGCTTGCTGGGGATGATTCATAACCTCGCTCGGTGCCGGGGTAGCTATAGCAGGTGACTGCAAAGCTTCGGGCACGCAATTATTGTAGCCGGGCTGGAAGCTGCTGCAGCTGTATTGGTTGTAACCGCCACGATTGCCGCAGAAGTGGTTCTGGGCGTAACCGGCGTTTCGACACATGTGGTTCTCCTGCTGACAGCCGCAGCCATCCCAGTGCTGCATGTTGAAACATCGACCGTGGTTCATCTGTCTGCCATAGCAATTGTTGACGTTCATGTTGCAGCTTTGCACGCTCTGCGTCATCTGAGAGTGACATCTCGACGGCATTTGGTTCATCATTCCCCCGTAATTCGATGATGGGTAATTGTGGTTCGAAGCTGGGGAATGCATCATCTGGTTCATGTTCGGAGCCGGAGAAGGCATCATGTGGTTCATGTTCGAAGCTGGAGAAGGCATCATGTGGTTCATGTTCGATGCCGGTGAAGACATCATTTGGTTCATGTTTGAAGCTGGAGAAGGCATCATTTGGTTCATGTTTGAAACAGGAGAAGGCAACATCTGGTTCAAGGAAGCCGGTGATGGCATCATCTGAGTCATGTTTGAAGCTGGAGAAGGCAACATCTGGTTGATATGGTTCGAAGCTGGGGAGTGCATCATTTGGTTCACGTTGGAAGCTGGAGAGGGCATCATTTGATTCAAATTCGAAGCTGGCGATGGCAACATCTGATTCAGATGATTGGAAACTGGCGAATGCATCATTTGGTTCACGTTCGAAGCTGGTGAAGGCATCATTTGGTTCAAATTCGAAGGCGAGTGGATCATCTGGTTGAGGCTACTAGGAGACGGTATGATCTGGCTGATGTTGGAAGGTGACATATTCTGTGGAGATGGTAAGGTTGGGAAGGTGGATGGCGATGGTACCATCTGGGAGGGGCTTCCCAGAGGCTTCTGGTTGCCGTCCGACCAGCTCATGGCTGTTTGGTGATTATCGGCCACTTGGTTCAGATATCGCACCATCTCGTCGGGAATGACCAGCTTGTTTTCCACCATTTCTCCCTCTCCTACCTCGTCTAACACCACCGCTTGGTTGGGGTGAAGGTCCGTGGAGTCCGAGGTGCCTTTGAGAGGTGACAAGGAGACTGAAGCTGGTCGCGGCGGGGGGCTCTTTCTATCCGTCATCGTATGACACGGTTCCGACATTCTGCGCGCTTCGGTACTGGTGGTTGTTGAGTGGATGTTGGACAGCGTGGATGACAGCCAGGTTTGCTGAAGGGCAGTTTGTTGGAGGGAGGCGTTTTGTGTCTGCAGCACTAGATTGCTGTGCACCGCACCTGGGGAGCTCTGCAGCCTTTGAAGCTGTCCAGCCAACAGGTGGGAAGGCGGGACGATGCAGGTGCCACCTGTCGTAGCCGTTGACAGCTGGCTGGATCGTCGCGAGCTTCCGGCGGATATGGGGTCGTAGAAGCTTCCCGGCGCTGCTGGTGGGGTGGGACGCATGCTCGAAGCTTGCGAAGCCAGACTGCTTTTCCTGCTGGCGTCTGCGCTACGCATGCTGCCGTAGTACGAGCTGACTGTCGAGTTGCTGTCTCTGCGAAGGATCTGGGAAGGGGTGGATGCGGCTGGTTGCAGCCGCTGCTGCAGGTCGGTGAGCTGCGTTTTGGAGGGAACATTGACCGTTACCCCACCTGAGAATTAACAAATATTAATTTTAAAAAAAGTTGATTTGTTTAGATATTAGAGGAGGAGTAATCAAAGGCAGGCCTATCTGCTCACTCAACAAGCAAATCCAGGATTTGCCTTAGGATGAGTAAAAGAGAAAGTACATCTTTGTGAAACATTTCATCACAAAGTTGAGCTGCAAAAAATAATGGAACAGTGAAGGGTATTGATCCTCAAAGAAGTGGTACACACAGATGGCTCCAAAACCGAATATGGAACTAGATAGGCGTCTTCGGGTCTCGTACCAAGTACTTCGAAAGCCTTGGCAAATTCCCAAGCATATTCCAGAAGGAAGTTTGCGTGTAGAACGAAAGCTATGAAAGAGGAGATACCATTATCATGTCCCATAGCCAAGCAGCCATAAATGCGCTGAGCTCTACGGTTGTCAGCTCTAAAAAGGTTTGACTACTTTATGAGTTCAAAGACATTCCGGAGTAAAGGGAATTGATATAGCGGACAAACTCGCTAGGAAAGAAGTTCAAATTCCCATGATCCAGGATTCAAACTAGTAAAACTTTATATAATATATGGTTTGGTTACCACGCATCTTCGTCATTGCGAGTAAAACAATTGCTCGCAGCCTGAGCTCGCAATTACTATCATTCGTCCGAGTCACCGTGATCATTTCGGTGCGAATATAGTCTCGCAATGACGTTATGCGCAGAAAAGACGATTTCAAGATACGAAAGCGATCCTCACCTTCCATCTTCAGATCCGTTATCCGCCTGTTCAAGTCCGCCATGTTCTTCCTCTGCGTGGGCGCCGGGATGCTCGTGGGTTTCCCCCGCGCCAGGGGCTTCACGCGCACCCTGGGCGTCCGCTCGGCCAACGTGACGGCCCCTCCGGCCCCGCCCAGCCCCACCATGGCCCGCAGCACGACGGGCAGCTCGTCGATCTCCAGGTCCTCGGCGTCGCGGGCCCAGGGGGGGTCCTCGAGGGTTTGGAGGGGGGGCGCCAGGTCGGTGGAGATGTCCTCGTGGAAGCCGCCGTGGCCTGAAACGGGAAGGCAGGGTTGTTACCAGTGCTGCCAACTCAGCCATTTTATGGCTAGATCTAGCCATTTTTGAACTAGCTACTAAAAATTTCATCTAGCCATTCAGCCATTTTTTCTAGCAATTTTTTATTGAGAGGAAACTGATGGAATCCTTACCTGCTAATTGGGTGGCTCCCAATGGACTACCCTGCTGTTGGTGCCCTGGCGAGTTGACATCCGACTCTGATTTGATGCTGGGACTGCTCAAACTTGCCGTTTTGTGACTGTGCATGTCTTCGCTTCTAGGACTAGCGTCCAGGCCTGCATGTCCATCATCTGGGCCCTGTTCGGCCCCTTTGTGCTTCTTGCTGGCGTAGAATTCTGCGCCGTGCACGGTTTTGACGTGTTTGCGCAGCGAGCTGGGGTCCGTGTACCGTTTCGTGCAACCGGGGGCTTTACAAACGTAAGGTTTCTGCGAAAACAAGAAAATTAGCAACTTCATTTTTCTAGACGCAGAACATAACATGATACTATAGTCATGTTGTAGCTATCTAGTGGCAGAGCTCTATGCTAGGATCCAGAGATCGCGACACACACTGTCTGGCGCTGCCATCTATAGTCACACGTACAGACCCTTACGTCTATACGCTACGAGTGGTATTACAAGTAAACCACTCTGCTGACAGATGGCACTACCTGACATACTTGAGTGGATTCATCCACAGATCTGTTCGACCTGCTCTAGCAGTCGGTGGATAAATCCACTCAAGTATGTCAGGTAGTGCCATCTGTCAGCAGAGTAATTTACTCTGTACGACGAGTACCACTCTGTAGCGTATAGACGTAAGGGTTTGTACGTGTGACTATAGATGGCAGCGCCATACAGTGTGTGTCGCGATCTCTGGATCCTACCTTAGAGCTTTGTCCCTAGATGGCTACAACATGACTATATATAGTATCATGGTATGCCCTGCGTCTTCGAAATGGGTGATATTCCCGAAGCGTAGAGTTGTCCCAGTTGTCAGCAGACCGAGAGCGGCTGATGAGACCTGGTGTGTCGAAACAGTACTGTCTCGCTTCTGCTGACAATTGGGGCAACTCTGTTCATCCTGGATCTCTTAGTTATGAGATCTAGCAGTTTATTTTTTTACGTTAAACTTTCAACTATTGTATATGGTTGGTTTTACTAGCAAGGCTCTGGAAACTAACCCAGCAAACATCAAATCTCTGGCCGCCTTCTGGCCAGTACATGATAGATCGGCAGATTTGCTTGCCATGGCCAAGCTATGCACCGTTCAATATATAAGCATGTATATTTTCATGGATTTCTCCCGACTGATTCTTGATATAGAGACAGTTTAAGCTCGTCGTGATATACCCTGTATATGGCATACTATTCAAAATCGTTCAACTATATTCCAGCCGGCACCGTGCCAAATAGAGTATTATTATATTTCAGTTATAATTAAAAACCATGAAGTCCCCAATTAATAGGTGCCCTACGTTACAGAAAGTAAACTCTGTTGCCAAATTTCACGATCATTGCTTCAGTAGTTTCGTTAGTATATATCTGCTATAATGGTGATAATAATTATTATTGAAATATTTTCATTCGGAAGTTCACCGCAAATGAATTCCGTACGCATATCATTTCAAGAAAGGTGTAGTTGCTCATTTGGAATAAGTTTGATTTGTAACCGGAGGACCGGGGTTCGAATCCCGTGGCTGTCGTCTTTTTTTAATTTAAATGTTTCGGCAGACATGGCCTTGATAACGACCAGAGTCTCCTATTGGTACTAGCCCATCAATATTTATAGGAATTTTGCAATTCTGGCCTCCATATTCTGGGCCAGCCTAAAAGGTCGACCAAAATTATTTGCTGGGTAGCGTCCATGTAGTAGAGTTGATTTTTTATTCTCTTATCGATGCATGCTCATTCGTTTCTACTTACAAAAATCCGAACAAAGCCAGCAATCACAGAAAAAAAATTAAAGTCACACACGTTAACTAGGAAGTGAATAATATTTACCTCGTTGCTGTGTGTTCGATTTTGATGTTTTGCCCTATCTGATGCGTTGCTGAAAGCCTTTGCACAGCCTGGATATTCGCACGTATACGGCTTTTCTCCAGTGTGTGACCTCAGATGAGTTTTGAGGTTTTCCAGTCTCGAATAAGCTTTGGCACAACCCTCGAACTAAAAAAATACATGGTTAGAAACTTTCATGGAACATTTGGTGTTTGTTTAAATTTACCGTGCATTTATGTGGTTTCTCTCCCGTATGTCTCCTCATGTGAACCACCAACATGTATTGAGCCTTGAACGGTTTTTCAGCCCTGGAACATCCCTCCCATCGACAAACAAATGATTTCTTGTTCGCATGTATGTGGTCATTGTTGATGTGCTGAAAAGTTAGAATAGGTCAGTTGTTTAAACTTTCGAATGTTCACAAGCATAGTATATAGATTGCAATCAGCGATGATTGATCAACATCCCTAGGTATATGATAAAAATCAGTCAGCAGCCTAGCAGCCAGAACCTTTTTTTATGATACTGGCGAGTAATTTTGTTCGAATGTTGGCAGCGCTACGGTTGGCAACATATTTGTTGAGCAACAAGTGTGTAATTAAAATATGTTAGTTTCTCACCTTGACTAATTCTTCTTGAGTGGCGAACTCAGTGGTGCAGTCTTTCCAATGACAGTTGGTCTCTATGAAGTCTCCGGGTTCGTCCTTGAGATCAGTGGCGTCGTTGTGGGCGTCATGTGGCCCACAGGAATTCAGGGTGGGCTCTTTTTTCACCTTCGATTTTCTCGATACGGTCGAATCGACATCGAGTTGCGTTATTGTACTTGTTTCAGACTTTTTTCTGTCACTTAAAATCTGAAAGAAAAACGAAGAACATGAATTCTGTGGTCGTTATACGAGTATAAACATTGTTGAATAGCAAAACGTGAAAAACTGTAATTTATATAGGAACTGTACCTAGCTAATCTATCGGGACATTAATTTGTCGGAACCGTATCTCATAGCGACAGTGATTGATCAGAATCGTATCCATCGGAACGATATTCTAGCAGAACCGTAGCTCATGGAAACTGTATTTCATATGGTCATTGATTTACCGTATTTCGTAGCGGCAGTAATTCATCAGAACTGTCGTATTTCGTAGCGACAAAGAATCATAATGTTACAGAAAACTTCATTACAATGATTCCGATAGGGTACTATTCTGACGAAATATCGTTCGGCCACAATACGGTTCCTATGAATGGTTTCGATGAATTATGGTTCCTATGAAATTCATTTCTGATGATTTACAGTTCTGATAGAAAACGATTATGCAGTTTTACGGTTCCGACACTTCTGACAAAATACATTTTCGATGAATTAAAGTTTTGATTAATTACCATCACGATGAGTTACGGTTATGATATAGTACCATTCCGACAAAATATAATTCTGACAGATAACTGGCGGGACAAAATATGGTTCTGAAGGATTGTCATCCTGATAAAATACTAGTATCAAATCATGGATGCAAACCAAATCTCAAGAATGGTGGAACAACTCGCCAGGTATGAGACAGGCAAAAGAGTTTATTAAAAAACCATCGCCAACATTCACAAAATAATGGGACTTCTCACAGGGCATTGTAGGCTCAACAAACACATGAGTACGATAGGTCTGACTGAAGAACTGCTCTGCAGGTTCTGTCAGGAAGAAGAGGAAACAGCAGTACACATACTTTGCCACTGTGAGGTTCCTTACGCTGGGTGAGGAAAAACCAGAAGCCCAAAGATACACAGGGGATATGGACTCTCATAGAGAAGGCGGGGCTAGTCGAAGAACTCTAATCGATTTTGAGGGCAGACACAATAGATCTGAAAAGGTCGCGGTGTGGAGGCAGATAGCCCGAAGGCCCCATTCTAAATCTAATCTAAAATCTAAGATGAACATTTCCCAAAGTTTCCACTTACATCAGTCTTGGAAATGCTATGACCTACGTGCACCGGCCGATGCCCCAGCGAGTACATCACGTGTGGGGGCGGCCCCGCAGCAGGAGGCGGCAGCGGCAGCAGCGACCCCGCGCCCCGCATCAGATGCGCCTGCAGGTGCTGCAGGTGCATGGGGTGCATGCCCAGGGCCGGACTCAGCGCGCCTGCCGACAGGTGGCCGTACGAGCCGCTCGCGCTCGACGACCGCGAACCGTTCACGATGGAGGCCAGCGAGTTGGGGGAGAAGCGGATCATGGAGTTGATGTCGAAGGAGTCGGAGTAGGGGGAGGAGGAGAGGGCGCGTTTGCGGGAGGCCCGGATGCTGGCCGGTCTGGGGCTGTTCAGCCGGGAACCTGGAACGAGAACAATTAGAATAATTTGCGATTACTTTTTGAATCATTATTATGAGTTATGATGTCCCATTATTAGGACTTGTTCCTAATTATAATGTTTTATTGTCCTGAATAATGACAAACTCTTACATAATAATGACTTATTATCATATTATTTTAATGACTATCTGTCACATTATAATGACTTATTGCATTATAATGACTTATTGTCCATAATAATGGCTTACTGTCACATTAATGGACTTTTATTTCACCATAATGATTGTGGATGCTATGATTATGATGCTATTTGTCCCGTTATACTGACGTATAGTCTGATTGTTTCATTATAATAACTTTTTGTCCTATTTTCACTATCACGTTCAAACCTAACCCAAACCTAACCCATTATAATGACTTGTTGTCCAATTATATTCACTCATTATCCCATAATAAAAGCTTATTTCCCATTCAAAGGCATTTCCCTATAATAATGACTTGTATCCATAATAATGACGTCACATTGTAATGACTTATATTTTTATTATGATAACTTATGTCCCATTATCAGGACTCTCTTTTCACCATAATAACTTATTGTCTCATTATATTGCTTTTTCTCATCTTATAATGATTTATTGTTCCATTATAATGACTTATTGTTCCATTAAAATAACTTACTGTCCCATAAGATCGACTTATTACCCCTTAATGACGACTTTTATCTAATCAAGATGACTTATCGTCAGATTATATTGATTTTTGTTCCATTATAATATCTTTTTGTCCCAATTTTAATGACTCATTGACCCATTATAATGACTAATCGCCCCATTTAAATGTCTCATAGTCCCATTATGATTACATTTCTCCCGTATTATGGACTACCATCCCTTCAATTGGTATGATATTGCCTTATTTGGTCCCATTATAATGACTTATGTGTGCTTATGTCCCATTTAAGTACTTTTATGGGCTTAGTGTCTGACTATATTGCCTTTAATCCTATTATAATGACTTATTGTCCCATTATAATGAATTATGTCCAATTATAAGGAATTATATCTCATGATAATAGCTTATCGTCTATATATGTTAACTTTTTTCCTATTATAATTACTTATTATCCAATTATACTGTATTCATGTATATGTATATTTATATGAGCATGTAATGTGGAAGAAAAATATAGGGAAACAATATTCAGACTGGCTGAATCAACCTTACCGTCTATACTAAACGGGAACTCTGAACTAGCTAGGGTGGAAGAGGGATGTAGATCAGTCAACCCCCTCGCGCTCAGGTATTCTGGACTCAAACCCAGCCCTGAAAAAATAATAAAAAAAATTATAAGTTGTACCTCATAATGTACCTATAAATCGATGAACTAAAATATAACAGTAATTTAATCTCACAACGTCATGATAATTATTATTGTAAGTGGGTGTAAATATATTAATTGTTGAATAGTTCCCAGAATAATGGAAAACACATGAAGAAGAAGGTCCTTATTGTTATTGATGATATTTTCATGGGTTAGACAGTTCATATCGTGAGGTTGGCTACAAAGGTGCCAATAAATATCAAATGCGAATAAGATTAGTGCCACTGTTGAAATTATATTGTATATCTATTCGATCTAATTCTGTTGAATTATTGATTATATTGGGAATAAGAGCTAGAGCAATACCCCTGGAACCTTCTTTCATCAAACTATTGCTACCAATGTCATGGTCAAAATTGATTTGACGATAAAAATAACCAGTAGGTACGTACACAATCCAGTTGCCAATGATTGAATGATTCAATTATCAATGTTATCGCGATATTCAATATGCCCAGATTGATTATAAGTACGGTCTGAAGACTAAAGAGGGATATCCGGTAAAGGCCAGAAACAATAAGAAGGCCTGTAGTAATCCGATCGTACGGGGCGTGCTATTGAAAACAAGAAATACGACAACGAAAAACAACAGATTGTTTAACGAGTCCGTGCCGTTTGAAGGAAAACAGCGTGAGGCGACCAACCAAAAAAAAACACCCCAACATCCGGCAGCGAAAGGCGTTAACGAGAATTAAACATTGCGTTACATGTTAGTAATAAAATAAATGTGCAGATTTATGAGTCCCCGGTGTATTTTTGTTGCAGCATAATACTTGTCTTGATCGAATTTAGGTTGCCTCTGCAAGATGTTCTTTGACCCTAGTGTAAATGGGTCTCTCAGTTTAGCCTACATATGTCGTAATAGATCTGAACCTACTGGCGAATTGTAGTAATTGTACGTCACTAGTATTATCCAAATTTTCGAAACTCATGTACAGGGTCTTCCAACGAAAACCTGACCCCCCTATAAACCATAAAACCGAATCCTGTACCAGAAATTCTCGGGACCCGTCGACTTTTATACTTGGGGGGTGCATTTTTGACAGTTAAACGAACTTGATGAGTTGTTCTTTCTATTGCGAATACTTTGGTGTAACATATACCTCATACTAATTCATAACCAAAGTTACGCACTAATTGAAAGGTATTCATCTTATCACAATTAGATAGTATTTTCATAGATCTAATTTTGAAGGTTATGTACTTTCTTCTATGCAAACAAATTGCTGTTGCTGTGAGGCAATTTGTAGATGATCATTTCCCAGGTTATTGGATTGGTAGAAGAGGTCTCATCGAATGCGGCCACCAAGACCATCTGATTTAACCCATTCAGAGCCTTTTACGGGGTCATTTGAAATCGCGAGTGTATGTTATGCAACCTGAAACACTAGATATGCTACGTAGAGAATTATAGAAGAATGCCGATTAATAACACCAGATGTTTTCAGTAATGTTGGAAAAGAATTTGAAAATAGTTGGTATAATTGTTTTCAAGTCAATGAAGGTAACAAAAAAGAGGAATGTGGATATTTTTTTAGAATCAATATATGTCGCCTGGTTGGCACTATAATATATAAAATCAATTGAATGATGTTACTAGAACAATTAATTACTTACTGTTTGTAATTTTTTTTTGATTATATGACTTGTACTTCTGTTACCAACAGAAATATAAAATCGATTTATCACATATAAATAATTTCATTGTGTAGGCCAACCAGTGCATAGTTTGATAGGTCATTATTGGATTGCCCGATTGATGGGCAATTTTGGTTAGAAATCATAACGTCAATGTATCGGTTCGTCAATTATTGTCAAGTATTGATTTTATTCAATGAGTCTGTCAAATTTCCACAAATTTCCAAAAACGATGCACCAGAATATTCGCAATGGAAAAGGGCTTTAAGATGATGTATTGAAAGTAGGGTAGTTCCATTCAAAATTTCGATGCTCCCCTAGTATAAAAATCCACGCGGGTTATCTAGTTATAGGGAGGTCAAGTTTTCGTTGGAAGACCTTGTATAATATCCTATCGATAAAGATAACAATCGTTCATCGGGAATGGAAAACACTCACACCCCCGAACCTTTCCTAAAGAATACCTGTCTTCGACTAACTCCATGACAATAAAGTGACTGGACAAATAAATAAACGTCAAATTGGAGACCCGTAACTTTGTCTCGGTGTGGAATGGTAGAGAACATCAAAGAAGGCAGTACAGACCAGAATCTGCCAGTGCCAGTCTGTTTTCTGTTTTCAGTTTGACCACTTCACAAGTCCCGTGGTGGCATGATGGCCCATAAAATCGAACAGAGGATGGAAATGGATGTTTTACGGCCTGGAAGTGAACACATGCATGAACTGCTGGGTGCATCTGGCCCGAGTGAAATACATATATATCGAAGAGAATAAATCTATTTCGGGCTTGGGGCCGCATTTTCTGAATGGTCTCTGCCTTCAGCGCCGGTTTATGTGGATTTTACAACAAGCTGGCATTGTATTTCGATACGATACGACTAGCCGTTATAACTCATACATTTTTATCCTCAACAGAAATAGCTCAACGCGTTCTTCAAGAGCTCGCAGCTCTGGAAATCAATGGCAAGACATATAACTTATTTTCTAAAGTACAGAATGTGGGCCCTCGAGTAGTGTTTATATGTACAGTGAGATAAGTTGGTTAGGTGGCCAATTCACAGATATACCGAGGTGGAAAGGTAGACAAAATAGGGCTAACTTCACTTGATTTTCATATAATGTTTCATAAGATATTATTACATGATGATATTGGGGGCCCTGGGCTCTTCGACTATAAGTCGCTATAAGTCATTCTGCAACTCATAGTATAGCTAGTTGAAAAGAAAGATTTTACTACTCATTTCCTCGACGGAAAGCAATATGGAAATAATTTCACTTTTGGAAGACATAATATAGAAATATAACCAGAAAACCTCTTCTCATAAAGTTAGGAATTCGAAAGAGACTGTTGAAAATCAATGAAATGAAAATCAACATACCAACCGTTAGACTTCTTCCTTATTATACTGCATAATTATCATAAGTTGAAACCGCTTCTATACAAATGAAAATAAGTGAGTAAATTGATATCTTTTGTGCAGCACCTCAACACATACTTATTCCATCTACACAACCCGCTATTATCAAGGGGCGCGGAACCCTTCCTTGAGGCATCCCGTCTCGTTCGTCGAATTCCTAAGATTGACAAGTCAACAATGACCTAATTGTTAAAATATACCTTGTCGTTTGATGTTCACGTTTTCATGTATTTATGACGTATGGGCTCGCGGGTTATTGTCGATATGCAGATGTTTAAATTTAACTTTCTCGGGGCACCAACGCAATCTAGATGAACTGAAAATAGCGAAAGGGGAATCGCCTCATTAACTGAATGCCGTGTATACGTTCGAGCTTATTTTTGTCTGTTTTTTTGTCAATCGATCATGACGTCAATCATATATTATGCAACTGTTCTCGCAACTGTTTCACAGAAAGATACAACTGTCAAACAGACATATATCAGATACAGCAAATTGTCCAATAAATATAACTGATGGTATATACCGGGTAGTCCATTCAAGGTCGAAACATACAACTATATAGACGAATGCTAGAATGCAACATTCTATAGATACATTATGCAAACAGATACCAACAACAAGATCTTCCATCAGGCATACTTATGAAATTTTTTACACATGCAGGAAGGAAATACATGACGCTTTTTCTGAGTCAAGTCTTTCGAATTTGTTTTCAATTTAAATATTTCAAATTTCAATACAGTAGAATGCCAAAAGCTCAATCAGTAAGGAATCCACAAAATGTCCCAATTTTATTTTCCACTTCGAAGATTCATCGATAACAAAAATTTAATGCGAGAAATACGCAAGACTACTCAAGTCATAAAATATTATCTGTTGACATGGGCGGCGTTAGATTTAATTTTTGTGGGGTCATGATCAACTTAATATTCGAGAGTATTTCATTGCTAAATTTGAATTGTTCAGTGTTGTTGCTTCTTTGTAATACCAATAAGATGCTATAACAAACATCTCCAATATAGACCATAACAATTTGGGAACTTATATTGATAAAAATAATTAATAATTTTGTTGTTCACTGAAAGCTCACTCTGTCTATGGCCGAGTTATTTTGAATACATTTTTATATTGGCCGGTGTTGATAAAATGCGAACAGTTTCAAAAATCCACACGCTGTTACAAAGATAAAGAACGTTTTAATATTCATACGTTTATTGTTTATTGATAAAACGGGTACGTCATTAAAGTCCCCATGTCATTTTTACAACCTTTTCGTTCGATATTTTAATATCTAATAAAATGGAAGAGAGTCGGCTCGCTCAGCTTGGCTCCAAACATGGTTACCAACATCATAAAATAAAGACTTTATCGGTCCCATTCGCTCCATAAACGAATAATTTCAATAAATTATAATATTAAGTAAGCTAGAATCTGGGTTTACACCGATCTTGTTGTAAGTAAACAATCAATATGTTAATTGAGAAATAAATTCTTCATTAGAATCCATTATATAGGAGATGGTTATCTTAAACACCCGAATTATTTTTAAACACTTCATCATGTCTGAGATGCAGAGGTCAAAACCCTTTGATGGAAAAAGGCCAGAATGACCATAACTAAACATCCAGTATCTAATTTTAAATACTTATTATAGTGTTTTTTCTGGATATGTATGGATTTGTACCATAAATAAAGTTATTGCAAAATAGCTTTGAAGATTTGGAATATCATATATCTTGGAAGCCTAACCCTAACTATGATACACACTGAACACTATAGTGTGCATACAGGAATTATTAATGACTGTCTTGAACCGTTTACATCCACACTCGATTAATATCGTTCCTTGCGCCCCAATTATCTCATTTCTCATGCTAATCTGTCAACATCAAGCCAACGTCTTTCAGCCATCACTTGTTACGCGTTCTTTTTTTCTATCCTCGCCTACACTCTTCAAAAACTCTTCAATCCCAATTAGATTTTGGCGGAAGCTTCATAGATGAGGCATCATTTTTTCCTGTCTCCTGCAATTAAGACCTCGCTCTGTTTTTTCACGTGTCTTCTGCGGGCAGAGATATCGTTGTTTTGTGTCATTAATTTTAATTTCCCCTAGCATCATAATTATCACAATAATTTTCGGTGACTTTCTTCATCAACAAAAATTCAGGGGGATTCATATGGCTGAACTGATGAAGATTACACGAAATTATTTAAGACTAAGGAGTATGAAATAGTCGTCAGCAGTGAATATGTTACAAATTACATTACCTGATGTGAATAATCATCCCCATTCATCAACATACCCAGCAAACATCGACAAGCGGTAGAAAGCCGGACCCATGGCGAGAACGGCGGGCAAATGTCGATGTCGGCATGCCTCGAAAGGCCCTCCATATAATTTCGAAGGATTATATGACGAAGGCAGAATGTACACATAGTTATGATGGGCCTCTGTTTCCTAGCCGCTAGTCTTCCGCTGTATGTATACAAGTCCAAGGGCCATCAAAATTTCAACGGAGTGTGCCATCATCACTCACTCAACGTTGGCATGCCTCGCTCGCGTGAGTTTTCATTTTGATCATTTTGCAGTGGTAACAATGATTCAGTATGGCGTATATTAATTTCTTTGTTTATGTTGTTTCAATACTCTAAACAGAAAGTTTAGTACTGTGTTCAGTTCGTGTTTGGTTTTCTAGTGGATTTTTATACAAAATGGAAGGGCATTGAAATAAATACAGAGAGTGAGTGAGGAACAAACATATATACAATCTTGCACAGCTAAAATTCTCCAATTTTAGACAATAATTTTACAAACACCATTGGACAAACAGATGCAATGATAGTTTGGACATGTTCAGCGGATACACAAGAATATAATAATATATGAGGACTTTGAAGATAAATCTATTTTCGAAACGAAAATCGAAGAGTACCTACTTGAAGAAACAGTTATATTTCAAGAATTACTGTAGGTATGTATAATGTTGCATGTTTTGGATTAGTAGAGAATGAAATCATTTAATCTTTCAGCTACAAAATCAACAACCAGAAGCCCATCAATCACAGATATTAATGAAGAAATCACACAATGATCCAGACTATGATATAAATTTCTTCATGGTATATGATATCTCACTTCCAGGCAACACTCATATCAATATGATGAAGAGTAAAGTTCTCCATATCTGGGAATTGTTTTCTTGTGGATTGAACTCTATATTGTTGACAATAACTTATCAATATAATAACTGATTACCTACATAACTTTCAAGTTATTTGTTAGGTACATAAATGATGTAATTTTTTACCTAGAGTTAGCAACTTTTTGAAACAAGTGCGGAAAAACAAATATCTATCATGCATGATGAAACACAATTACATATTATTGGAAATTGTACGTACCTTTTCATAATGAGTATACAGTGTGATACGTAGAACTAGATTTAATAAGATGTTTGATGTTTCCATAGTTATGATATGTATTGGTTGTGATCATGCCAATAATATACACACATGGATATTTTCAGTTCTTGTTTTTGTATGGGGTATTTATACTGCTAGTTACTGGAAATAACTGTGATATCAGGATGCCATCTCAGAGATTTTATGTAATTATTCAACAACTTCAGGTAAGGAGAGAATTCCACATTTCTGTTATACCCAGAGCATTCACAAAAAACTCGAAGACCTCAATTCTGTTTATTGAGGTTCCACTCTTTCAACCAGTTTGAGAATAAAGAGAGTGATGCAAATCTGAGTGAAAATAGGGTACCTTTGCTTTCCAAGTGGTGATTTAAACTGGGATACCTATCAAAAAACCTATTTTCACTGAGATATATGCATTACCCTGTATATTTTTTGACAAACCTAGTTGAAAAATGGAACATCAAAAAACAGAATACCAAGAATATTGAATTCATTCAACATCGTTAACCAACGGCCCTGAAAAACTCCTCTATCGGGGGAATAAAAATACTCAATCGGCCAATTCATGGCAGTCTCTGAGAAGTCTCAATCGGGCCGAAGATATGCCATGAATGCAGTACATTTGAGTACTTGCTTCTGCCCACCAGAAGCCCTGCAATGTAATAAGCGGCAAACTGATGGCTCTAGAGAGGCGGTCGGCTGTCGGCCGCCGGGACACTGGCTAGCCGGCCCAATTTAGTTGTACAATAGAGGACCGCTGTTACCGCTCGCCGGCAAGTTTCATTGTACCTTTAGAGGGCCGCAAAAATCATGTTTGCTGGGATAAAACGTGAAATACAATAGCCAAAGTGAGATGTCATTACATTGTGTTTAGTCTTGCGTTGTCCATCAATGAATGTTCGCATTAACATAAGAAACGAAAGACTTCGGAAAAATAAACATGGCAGGCTTTATAAATAAACCGACTGGATCGGTATATAGCAAAGTAAATAAACAAATCCCATGCGAAAATAAATCATTAAAACGTCTATAAATATAAATGGACTGCCAGTCTGAGATGACTGTCAAAACGAATGTTTTCTTTACGATGCACTTGATGTGAATCACAATAGAATTTTGTTCGGAAACAGACAAGAAATGAAATTTGTACAGAGCTGGTAAAAGTGTAACATAAACTCAAAATTTATTCTTCGAGTTTCTCTAATTCTCTTATGACAGTTTTGCGAAGAAGAGGTCTGAAGCAACATGACTAAAATTATGTTTTTCTTACCATGAATGGAGTTGCTGGTGGAATGTTGAAGAGAATAAAGGTACTCCATGTGGGGAGGCAATCGGTAAGCAGGATGAAGTTCCCTTCCAAGAAGCAGGCCTCCTGGAGTACCACCAACACTGGAAAACAAAAGAAAAAAATCTAAAAATACTTTCATTACTTTCATAAATGAGTATAGAAGGTAATGGGCAGTTACATCAACCCAATCCAAATTTCCATCAATACAATAGCTGTTTTTATATGGTAATACAAAAGCTGAATTTAGGCAATTTTATCGCATTATCAGCCGTCACAGTACCAGCTGACTAGATCCTTGTAAGATCCAAGATCGTCTCATGGAAATAAAACAACTCTAGTTAATTATATCAGCACCGTATTCAAATTTACTATGAATATGCCTATAGTTAGGATGCTCAATGCTACACCTTCGTTCTTAGGAGCTATTCATACATTACTTAATTCCTGCGAACTGTTAAAATATACTTCAAAATAGGAGACATATAGTTTTTTATGGTTCGACTTTTTCCCAGAACCAGAGATTATACACTCCCCCAAGAACTAATTAATTCTGATTTTGCCCTGGGGGAATTAACTGAATCCGCACTCAGTTGGTCAGACATGTTACGATATAGGGTGCGGATGCACTCGTTACATAAATCAAGTTGATGTCTATTTTCAGTGGAAATAAAAAATCTAAAATAATAATAATGCCGGTGGGATTCATTTCGACCATCATTTATTTCTTGAATATTGTGAGGATTTTTTGTCTTGCCATAATTGATCTTTTACACATTTTCTAATTTGATTTTGATTGTAAGCTTGACAAGTACGTGGAACAGATGCCGGACGGCGGCCATCTTATATTCTGAACTTCTGAACTCATTTGACTCGAATTTGAACAGGTATCCCACGTTGGTTTTCCACAAATTTTCTATGGAAAATATCCATACGAGCTATAGTGCGTGGGATACATTTCATCATGTTTCTTCAAAAGCGTCTATAGAGGTCACTCAATTAAAATAAATTAATTTTTTTCCAATATACCTATGTACGAAAATTGGTCATCTTACTAGAGAGGGTTTCAAAAATACTAACATAAAACCACATCTTTGGCTATAACCCCACAGGGGACTCACATTTATGTGAACATTTTCTTACTATTTCATAGTTCCTATAAATTCTGTAGTCACAGAATCTTCCTAGGTATTTTGAGACACTCTGTATATACCCGCTCCAAATAAATATTTGTTATTTTAGATGAAAAAATTCTGAATTTTCCTATGACATACTTATCTAGTATTAGACTCAAATGACAAACGATATGAATCCACTAATTGAAACTTTTGCAACGCCCTGTTTTATCCGGTACTAATTCCGAATTCATCGATCATATCCACACATGATTGATATGCATCATAGAGTGAAGAAATTTCGTGTGGCAATGTTTCTATAAAATGATTTCCAATGACAAAGTTGACAGCATTAATAAATCATACGACACGCTCGACAAACTGTTGCTATTGAATAACTAACTACATAGAATAACTGGATAGTACTGTGATATAACATTAGATCGCATCATTAGATTGTGTAGGAGTCAAAAAATATATAAATAAATTAAAAAAGCTCAAAATTATTGCCACACAATGTTCATAAAATGAATAACAATGGTAGATTTCGGGAGAAAAACAACTACCTTCCTGGCAGAAAATTGAATTACATCCTTCCGAAATCTATGCATCGACTCGTATAAACGAATATACTGATACAAGTGATTCTTTCCTCAATGCCTACTGATTTCGATTTAGCCAGGCCACGCTAGACACATACAGACCGGTTTCGAGCTATTTGACTCTCATCAGTGCAGGGCAGTCTCCAGACTAAGCGTAGCCTTAGCCGTAGGTAGTTGAAAAATATATACCGGGAGGCTAGAAAACCGGACCAACCCATGTGGTGACTTTCGCTTATATGCGTCATTTATAGGGGAGACATATCAATTATGGAAGGAGAGAACATGAAACTTGATAATTTATAGTATAGTAATGTGATGGAGTTGTTACTCTATAAGAAATCGAATTATCAATTTGAAGGCATTTTACCTTGAATTCCAAATAAAATTTCGCCACCGCCGTATATATTTAACCATATACAAACGTATTGTCCGAGTTTCTTGGCCACTCTTGGTATACACTGAAATGGAGTTATCACTGTGGGAAGAATCTAATTTTCAATCTGAAGGCATTTGACTTTGAAAACAAAAATGATTTCGCCTTTTGACCTCCCCTGGTATTCACTGAAATGACACCTCTGAACTTTCGAATGATTCAAGAGGCAATTTTGGTGGTTTCCAAATAAAAAAAATATAAAATTTTCCATTGAAACTGTTTTCCAACAAGTTACCTAATTTATGCCATATTTGGATACTGTCAACTTTTTTCCTCGAATAGTACCATAGACATATGTTTATATTTTTTCTGAATACACTGATGTAAGACAAGTTGACTTTCGGACAAAATTTGTTGAAATCAACTTGTCATAAAAAAAAGGAAAATAACGGTATTAATCGATCAGACAGCCTTTATAATCGAATTTTTCCTGCATTTCTTCATGGAATTTGAATAAAAAGTCTTGCCTCAATCACCTTATGGTCGATGTTAACGACAGTCGTTTCGAATCCCCCATCAAAAGACCATTTATTTCTAGTGACATATCGCTGATTGACTCATTTAAATCTCAATTTAGAGCGTCTGTCCTTGATCAACTCTAGGGCCAACGACTTCAATACGTAACAGAACAGAGTAAATCAGAAGCTGAGGACGATTTTTTTAAAGAAGACATTCATCGAATCATAAATATTTATTCTTGGATGTCGAGAGATAATTTACGTTTGGAACTTGACGAACGTCTGGTAAACAAATTGCCGAATTATAAATGGAATGAAAATGAACACAGACAGACTACCAATGTTACTATTTTTTGTCATTTAAAAAGGCGAGACCCGATGAAAAGTTCTCTTTCAGTCTCGACATTTTTCAATTCTCCATTTCAAACGAAGAGTATAATAGGCCAAATGTTTTTTCACCGTCCCACAGCTTTTAGGCCAACAGATATCAGATGGATTATCTTGTTATCTAACATGTAGAATATTTCAAAAAATTGTGGAATTTATACAGCATTATAGTCGAAATTATATTCAAAAAAAGATTTTACAGGCTTGTTATACTGTGACACCTATCAATTATTCCTTAAAAAATCAGAGCTACACACAAATCCTGAATAGGCGATAGGTAAAATGTAAGCATTCCAGGAAAATCGATATTTTTTCATGAACATTATTCGAAATTTCTGAGGATTAATGTATTTCTGGATATCTAGTCTCATAAATAACTGAATTCAGAATGAAAAGTTTTATAAGAAAAGAACATGATGGTGTAACTTGAAGAACCAAAGTTAGGGGGATTGCTAGTAGATTATTTGACGTGAGGGTGACTCGATACCTATCATTGTCTTTGCTCCCATGTATTCCCCAATTTCTTGATTTTTTTTAGATTAGATAACCCAAACATTTGCTGGCATGAAAGCTTTGGGACACCCTGTATACTCTTGATATTCAAGGGAATCAAACAGCTTGAATCAGTCTAGTTCTATTGGGATTTAATTCCGTATCGTTTATTTTTGCTTGTTTTGTCTGTTGTCTCCTCTCAATTTCAGACCACATTATCACATTATCAGGTGCCAGAGTACCAGGCCACTAGATCTTTGTAAGATTTTAAGACCGTCTCATGAAAATAAAACAACTCTAGTTAATTAAAGCAGCACCGTATTCAAATTTACCATGTTCTTAACGTGAGATGGTTTTCCATACATGCCCATAGTTAAGATGCTCAATGCTCAACCTTCGTTCTTAGAGCTATTCATACATTACTTTATTCCTGCAAATTGATGACATACTTCAAAATGGGAGGCATATAGTTTATTATGGTTTTCCTTCATCCCAGAACCAAGAACTGATTCATTCCGATTTTGCACTGGGGGAATTAACTAAATCTGCACTCAGTTGGCCTGCTATGATGAGATCACGAGATAGGGTGCGCATGCCCTCTTTACCCTCGTTTACCTAAATCAAGTTGATGTTTATTTTCAGTGGTAACAGTGAATCTAAACTGGATAATAAAATAATTATAATGCCGGTGAGATACATTTCGCCCGTCATATATTTCTTGAATATTGTGATGATCTTTTGTCTTGCCATAATTGATTTTTACACATTTTCTAATTTGATTTCGATTGCAAGCTTGACAAGTACGTGGAATGCAACAGATGCCGGCTAGCGGCCATCTTATATTCTGAAGCTGAACTGAACTCTTTTGACTCGATTTTGAACAGGTATCGGACGGTGGTTTTCCACAAATTATAAATTTTTATTACAGTGCCGTGAATATTCGAGATTTTCTATCGAAAATGTCCTTACGAGCTTTGTTGCGTAGTGAACAATCCAGAAACTATTACAATAAAGCCCACATCAGTGAGATTTCCACAGTTCCGTTGTTATTCCAGTATCAGATAGCATCCCTATACCAGGAAGAGTCTAGAAGTTTTAAGTGAGTACCTATATTCTGATATAAAAAGTTGATTTATGAATTTCAATCTGCACTTATCATGCGATGGGTTTTTTTCGAAAATCTTTTTGGTACTAACGTAGGTATTTTTGTCTGAAAAACACTACCTAATTTGATAATGAAACTGTGAACAATAGATATTTGTTTTACTAGGCAGCAAAGTAGTAGATTGAGTGCCACTGCTGATAGTTCATAGCCGCATGTTCAACGAGGCTAGGAATTCAGCCAAGGCAGTCAATTTACATTTGCTGCCGCGTGAAACATAGAATTTTTTCTCCAAATAATATAAAACCAATTTTGAGTATTTTTTTTATTGAAAACTCCATCATTTTCTGTTCACCCAATGTCAGTGTCAATTTTGATTGATTCAAATTACTTGGAACGTTGCATAGCAACAAACTTTTTCTGCCTAGGCAGTAAAAGTACACCTTTTCTGCCGCTTAGAGAAAAACCGTTATTTATCAAGATATTTCACTATAAAGTTACAAATTAGAACAATT